TCATCGTGGGCGTCGTCATCGTCGTCGTCGTCGTCGTCGTCGACGTCGGCGTCGTCGTCGTCGGTGTCGTCGTCGTCGTCGTCGTCGTCGTCGAAGTCGTCGGAGTCGTCGTCGGTGTCGTCGTAGTCGTCGTCGGGGTCGTCGTCGTCGTCGTTGTCGTTGTCGTCGTCGGCGTCGGTGTCGTTGCCAAGTGCCATTTGGTACCTGCCGTCACGGTCTCAAGAGGTCTTGCGCCCAAGTTGCGGGTGGGTGGGTGGGATGTTTGCACGGGCAGCGGAGAGGACAGCTTCAAGACAGCCAAAGTGAGTTGCACCATATGTTTCGCGCCACATAGATTGCACCAACATAGACTGCCCAACTCATGTTGCATCACAATGACTGCACAACATGGATAGGTCCACATCGGTTCTCCTTGCTGAAAAGAGAATAGACTCTACCCCCCCACGGACTTATCGCTTCCCCCTGGGATAATATGATTTCATGTATGATTCTGCACACTCGTACATCCTAAATATGCAATCATATCATCCCAGCCAAACCGGCTTACCCCCCATGAGGTTCCCTGGTAAAAAACTATGCGGTGACATTTGTTGTTCTAACATAGCATTTTTTCACGAATCCCTTGCAAACAATGGGACGAAGTGCGCACGCGCGCGTCGTCGCGCGCGCATGCCGAAATCCTTCAAAAAGCTTCGGTGCCGGAAAGATTTCGTCAAAAAAAACATCCAAAACATACACGGTTTCGCAACACTGATTTGCTAAAAAAGCTTCCGCGCGAGCTCTTGCGAAATCTTAAGAAAACCATAGGTTTTTCAAGATGTTCGCAAAATGCTACCAGACGGGCTTCGCGCGCGCGCATGTCGAAATCTGTCGAACGCCCTTGCGCATGTGCCGTCGCGAGAATCCTCTGAAAAAAACCGGGACGAAGTGCAGACGCGCGCATCGTCGCGGGCGTATGCCGAAAACCTTCAAAACCCATCGGTTTCGGAAGGATTTCAAAATCGTGCGTCCAAAAAACCTATAACAACCCAAGGTTTCGCAACACGGATGTTCAACAAAAGCGTGCGCGCGCGCTCTTGCGTCGTCGTCGTCGTCGTCGCCGTCCTCCCTCCTCCCGCGTCGTCGTCGTCGTCGCCTACGTCGTCCTCTGTCTTTTCTCGTGTTCGTCGTCGTGTTCTTTGGCGTCGTGGTCGTTTCCGTCGTCGTTGTCGCCGTGGTCGTCCTTCCTCCTCCTCCCACGTCGTCGTCGTCGTCCGTCGTCGGCGTCTCGTCGTCGTCCCTCCAATTTCGTCGCCGTCGTCGTCGTCGTTGTCGTCGTCGTCTTCCCTCTTCCCTCGTCGTTGTCGTCGTCGGCGTCGCCGTCCTTCCTCTTTCGTCGTCGTTCGCGTCGTCGCCGTCCTCCCTCCTCCCTCGTCGTTGTCGTCGTTGTCGTCGTTGTCGTCGTTGTCGCCGTCGTCGTCCTTCCTCCTCCCTCGTCGTCGCCTTCGTTGTCGTCGTCGTCGTCTTCGTCGTCGTCGGCGTCGTCGTCGTCCGTCGTCGTCGAAGTCGTCGAAGACGTCGTCGGTGTCGTCCTAGTCGTTGTCGTCGGTGTCGTCGTAGTCGGTCTTAAGAGGTTTTGCAAAGCAAGTTGCGGGTGGGTGGGTGGGATGTTTGCGCGAGCAGTGGAGATGACGACCTCAAGTTCCGCAGAATGGATTCTCCTTTCTTAAAATAGACTCTACCCCCCCGGACTTAACGCTTCCCCCTGGGATAATGTAATTTCGCACACACATATATATATACATATATATATATATATATATATATATATTCTGCACACTCTTCCATTGTAAAAATGAAACCATAACATCCCAGGCAGGCCGCTTTCCCCCCCCTGAGGGTCCCTTGTAAAAAAAAAAAAAAAAACACTATGCGGTGACATTTTTTGTTTTAACATAACACTTGTTCGCGAATCCCTTGCAACAAATGAGACGAAGTGCACACGCGCGCGTCGTCGCGCGCGCATGCCGAAATCCTTCCAAAACTTTCGGTGCCGGAAGGATTTCGCAATCGAGATCACAAAAAAACATACAAAAACACATGGTTTCGCAACACTGATTTGCTAAAAAAGCTTCCGCGCGAGCTCTTGCGAAATCTTAAGAAAACCATGGGTTTTTCAAGATGTTCGCAAAATGCTACCAAACGGGCTTCGCGCGCGCATGTCGAAATCTGTCGAACGCCCTTGCGCGTGTGCCGTCGCGAGAATCCTCTGCAAAAGAAAAAACGAAGTGCAGACGCGCGCGTGGTCGCGCGCGTATGCCGAAATCCTTCAAAACCCAGTGGTTTCGGAAGGATTTCGAAATCGCGCGTCCAAAACACAAACAAAAACCCAAGGTTTCGCAACACGGATGTTCAACAAAAGCGTGCGCGCGCGCTCTTGCGTCGTCGTCGTCGTCGTCGTCGCCGTCCTCCCTCCTCCCGCGTCGTTGTCGTCGTCGTCGTCGTCGCCTACGTCGTCCTCTGTCTTTCCTCGTGTTCGTCGTCGTCGTCCTCTTTGGCGTCGTGGTCGTTTCCGTCGTCGTTGTCGCCGTGGTCGTCCTTCCTCCTACTCCCTCGTCGTCGTCGTCGTCCGTCGTCGGCGTCTCGTCGTCGTCCCTCCAATTTCGTCGCCGTCGTCGTCGTCGTCGTTGCCGTCGTCGTCTTCCCTCCTCCCTCGTCGTTGCCGTCGTCGGCGTCGCCGTCCTTCCTCCTTCTTCGTCGTTCGCGTCGTCGCCGTCCTCCCTCCTCCCTCGTCGTTGTCGTCGTTGTCGCCGTTGTCGCCGTCGTCGTCCTCCCTCCTCCCTCGTCGTCGTCTTCGTTGGCGACGTCGTCGTCGTCTTCGTCGTCGTCGTCGGCGTCGGCGTCTCGTCGTCTTCGTCGTCGTTGTCGGCGTCGTCGTCGTCGCCGCCGCCGTCGTCGTCGTCGTCGTCGTCGTCGTCGGTGTCGTTGACGTCGTCGTCGTCGACGTCGTCGTCGTCGGCGTCGTCGTTGTCGTCGTCGTCGACGTCGTCATCGTCGTCGTCGTTGTCATCGTCGTCGTCGTCGTCGGCGTCGGCGTCGTCGTCGTCGGTGTCGTCGTCGTCGGAGTCATTGGAGACGTCGTCGGTGTCGCCGTAGTCGTTGTCGGCGGCGTCGTCGTCGTCGTCGTCGTCGTCGTTGTCGCTGTCGTCGTCGGCGTCGCTGTCGTTGGCAAGTGCCATTTGGTACCCACCGTCACGGTCTTAAGAGATTTTGCGAACCAAGTTGCGGGTGGGTGGGTGGGTGGGATGTTTGCGCGAGCAGTGGAGTGGTCAAGCGCGGTGCAGGGTAGTCAGTTGCACCACATAGAATGCTCCATGTATATACAGAATACGTTGCTAAAAACACACTGTTTGGGGTCCACGCTGGCTACCATATTCAAAATGAACGATGGGGCAGAAACGCTTGTAACATGCACAATCCCAGGGGGGGGGGGCGATAAAGCCAGGAGAGGGTAGGTCCTCATTCCCCGTGTGGGAAGGAACATCTATGCTGCACAATCTGAGCGGCAACGGGGCGGCGACGGGGCGGCGACGGCGAGCACGGAGCCGCGAGACCGCCACCCAGGCCCAGACGACGGGCGGAGACGGGGCGGCCACGGTGAGCACGGAGCCGCCAGACCGCCACCCGGGCCCAAACGACGGGCGGCGACGGGGCGGCGACGGGGCGGCGACGGCGAGCACGGAGCCGCCAGACCGCCACCCAGGCCCATTTCCTCAGGACAAAAACAAGAACCCCGAAGTGCAAGTACTGTTCCGAGATTGTCCCCATCCCTCTCGCCCCTGCCAAAAATACTACGCGCACTCGTTTCTCACAAGCCTCGTGAGAAAAAACACAGTCCACACGCGGGCGTCGCGCGCGCATGCCGACAGGACTAAAACATCATTGATTTCGTGGGGATGTCAAAGTCAAGGCTCCCGAAGGAATAGTTCTACACCACAGATGGGTTTGCAAACTGATGGTTGAAGTCTGCGCGCGCTCTTTCGATTTCTTACTGAAGCACAACATAGGCTCCCCGAACAGTGTTTGCACTTAGGGGTCCCTGCCTCTGTTGCGCACGGTGGGGGCATTGGATAAGGAAACGTTGGATAAAGAATCCAGGGTCTGGAAGCCCGTGAAACTCCAGTTGATGTTTGGGCATGGACATCACCGTCACCCTCATCAGATAAGGAACCCTCCAGGGTCTGAAGCCTCCTGGGCACGTTCCTTAACGAACGCCCCCACCGTACTGTACTGGATGGGTGTTCAAGGTGTTCGCCACGTTGCGGACTGTGCCCTCTCGTGGGCGCCCCGTGGGCGTCTCGTGCTCAGAGCATGCACGACATACCTCTCACCACATAGCTTGCACCGCACAGCTTTCACAGCAAAGCTTGCACCGAATGGTCCAAACAACACGAGTTTGCACCGTGTAGCTTGCCCGACATTCCTCACACAACACAGCTTACACCACACACCTACCTCCACAGTGCAAGCAACGCCGCTTACACGACATAGCTTGCACAGGCTTGTACTACATATCTCACACCCTTCAATGCTCATCTCACGAGTGCAATAGCACACAGTGTGCGGTCCACGTAAGCTAAAATGGATGTAGAGACAACATGGGGCAGGAGACAACAAAGAAGGACAGGGGAGGATACGAGGCAGGAGGAAGGGGGGAGGGGAATGAGCGAGGAGGGGGGAGGGACCCTGAGACCAGATGTTTCAAATGATCACAGCAACACGAACAAAAAGACACAACCGAAGTCCTAGATCCTAGATCCCATCTTTCTGTGGCATCCTTCGAGCAGGTAGCTCTGCGATGGTCCTAGGGACCGAAGCATGGCGAAAACGCCCCGTTTGCAAAACATGCGGAAAAAAACTTAAAACCGGCCGCTCCATATTTGTCACGGCCTGGGACCTCTGGGTCGGGGAGGTGGGGAGGAGGAGCCAGGCTGGCCGCAAGACGCGGGCCAAGGGGGCTCCTCTCCCAGCGCCTGCCGCCAGCCGGAGGGCAGCCGCCAGCGCCCTCTGGCAGCGCCCCAAAACATCTGGCGCTGCAACTTTTTTGACGCGCGGACCCCTGGAGGTCTGGTACGGTTGAAAACTTTCGGATACGGTCGAGAACTTTTGAATTGGCGTGTCGCCGCGGCTGGCCTGGCGGCGCGCTGGTCCTCCTTGAGTGGATAGCGTGTCGTCCCGCTCCGCGGGGCGGGAGGCCCGGAAAGGCTCGGGACATGGATGCCTCGAGACCACGACGTGGATAGCGCGCTGCTCCAAAGCAGGGTGAGCCAGAGTGTTGGAGCGACTCGACCACGCGGCCCGGAAGTTCCCGACCGTAGAAGCGACGCTTGTGGCGAAAAATGACGATGACGACGGCTAAGACGAAGCCAGGACGAGGATAAACCGGGTGAGGATAAATCGAGAACCTCTGAGATGCGGCCGGTCTGGATGATGTCTTGGGCGCCACGGCCTTCTCAGAGCGTTCCGAAACGCTCTGGGAGCGTTTCGGCACGCCCTGGAACGGATTTATCCTGGGAGGCCTGGAGGTGGACACCAACACCAATATCGGCGGTGTGCCTCCACCGAGGGAAGGCTCTCCCGATCCCGGTGATGGTGGAACACTTTGGCATCCTAGGCGGGATCATTCCCCCCCAATGGAGGCATGCCCGTGTGTTGGTGTTGGCAGGGAAAGGGGGGAGGGGGAGGGGGGGGGGAGGGGGAGAACGAGGAGGAGGAGGAGGAGGAGGAGGTGCCCATTTCGGGAGCGGCAAAGAGGGGGGTGTCCAAGAGGGGGGGGTGCAAATCATGACCGGCGGCATGTGCGCGGCCCAGCGGGGGGTCCAGGGACGTAATGAAACAAGAAGAGGCGCCATGAAATCTGAGGGAAAATCATGGCCCGCGCCATGAAATCCACCCCCCCTAGTCATCACCCCCCTCTTTTCCGCTCCCGACCATTTCCAGGCCTCCTGTTATCCTCGCCCTGGCCCAGTCCTATCGGCTCTGCCTCGGGCGCGCTCTGCGGGGGCCCCCGCGCGCCGCAGCGCCGCAGGCGCCGCCGGCCTCGCCTCCGCGAGGAGGGAGGCGGCGAGCACCGCGGCACGAGCGCCGGCCGCCGCGGCCCGCGCCATGGGCCCCCCACGGCGCGCCGCCGAAGCCCGCCGCCCCTGGGATCTCCTTGTCGGTCCGCCTCGTCGATCCGCCTCGCTGCTCCTCCCTCCTCGATCCTCCTCCTCCTGGAGCCTGCTGGCTGCTGGCTCGTCCTCCTCGCTCCTCCCCTCGCCTCTTCCCCCTCCCCGACCCTCCTCTCGATCGCCCCCCTTCCCTGGTGCACCTCCTCGACCTCTTCGAGACTCCCTCTCCCGTCGCCCCCGCCTCGATGCTCCTCGCCTGGCACTTCTCTGGAGGCCCAGGCGCCAAGAGAAGGCTCAAGCGAGGGCCTCTGAGGGGCCCCCCCCACGGCGCGCCGCCGAAGCCCGCCGCCCCCCCAGATCCCCGACGTCTTGGCTTTTTCAACCAGCGGATTTTCGCTGCCGCTGCCGAGGCCTCCTGGGAGGCCCTCGTCGCCACGGCTGGATTCGCCTCGGAGTTCTTCTCGAAACGCACCCCTCAGAGAGGTCCTGGGAGTCGCAGAGCCAGTGCAAACCCAGACCTCCGACGATCTGTGTCTCCTCCCACCGGCGGCGTCCTCGACTTCGGCCATCGGGGGCCGTTCTCGGGCCCGGGGGACATCAGACAGAAACACGGGACGACCAATCGGAGGCGTCCAGGGGCGTCCAAGAGGAGCGTGTGCAAGTCATGGCCCGAGGCATGTGCGCGGACCAGGGGGGGGCCAGGGAGCGCATTGAATCAAGAAGAGGGGCCATGAAATCCAGGGAGATATCACGACCCTGGCCATGAGATCCCCACCCCCTAATCATCACCCCCCTCTTGGCCGCCCCCGAAAGAACTGCCCCGAGGGGAGTGGCGGGGATCTCTGGGGCTACGGCAGGAGATCACATCGGCGGATGTCCGGGCCTGTGCGCAGGCCCCGGCGCGCGTCCCGAGCCCAGCCGCATCGCCCCACCTGGCGCGCGTCGGCGAGTCGTAGCTCTCCCTCCTCGATCCTCCTCTTCGATCCTCCTCTCCCTCCTCGGTTCTGATCCAGCAATCCGCCTCTCGATCCTCTCGATCCCCCTCCTCTCCGATCCTCTCGATCCTCTGGATCCTCCTCCTCTCTCAATCCCTCTCCCTCCTCTCGATCCTCCTCCTCTTCGATCCTCCTCGGTTCTGATCCAGCAATCCATCGTCCAGCCAGGCACGAGGGTGCAAGCCCGACTTGTCCTGAGGATCCCCTGGGAAGGGGGGGGCTGTGCTCGGGGGAGGCTGCAGCGTGGGCCCCTCTCCTTGTTTTCTAATATATATATATATATATATATATATATATACACATGCATATATATATATATATATAGATATATGCGTTCCAGCTTTGGCGTCGGCCTCAGCCGTGGGTGCGCCGCGGTGCGCCTTCGAGCCATCTCACCCGAGCCGGATCTCCTGACGCACGGCTGCCTCCCTCCCTCCATCCTCGACCCTCCCACACCCCACGGCCCTCCGTCTCCTCCGTCCTCCACGCCGCCACGACCGCGCCGGGGCCGCGTGGCAGCCCGACCCCCCCAGCGCCTCCACCTGGCGCGCGCCCCGGCCCCCACCTCGGCTCTCCCGAGGGCCACCCTGCTGAGCAGCAGCTCTGCCTTTCGATGGCCCTGGCGTTCCTTTTCCTTTCTGGCCTCTGCCTGGGCCCAGGAGGCTTCCGGGTGGAGACAGAGCCCGAGGGAGCTCCATCAGCCCACTATGTGACTCGAGGCGGCCGCATCGGGTCCCGAATGATACCCCGAGAAGACACCCCAAGACGGTCCCAAGACAGCCCCGAAAAGGCTCCAACCGCTCCCAGTGCCCATGATCTGCTACCTGCCTTCCGCGGAACTTCTCACACCCCCCTGCGCAAAAAGGCCGACTACACTTCTGTTCCAGCAGATGCTCACGCGCAAATCCACGAGGCGCTGCTCACCAATTGGTCGGCGCCCGCGTGCCCACAGGGAGGCCCTCAGCTCATGGAGGCGCCGCTGAGGATCTGCTTGGCCTGCTGCAGGGCCTGCGCGAGGGCGCGTGGCGCGGGGTTTGCGGGCTGAGGTGATTTCCCATCCACGCTACCCCCCGCTTCAATACATATGCCTCTCTCTCTCTCTCTCTATTCTTCTCCCCCTCACTCCAGATCTCCCTCAATCTCCCTCTCCCTCTCTTTCTCTGCTTCTCTCTCTCTCTCACTCTCTCTCTATCTCTCTTTCTCTTCCCTCTTGCTTCGCCAAACCAACCTTAGCATTGAGATGCTCAATGCAGAAGCGTACTGAAAACAGCCTAAAACAAACACAACAACACAAACCGAATGGCGAACCAGACGGAGCCCCGGCCGGAACCAATACTGGGCCTAAAGCAGTATCGAAACTCAGCACTATGATGAAAACTGTGCAACTGGTAAGGGCGCATCTGGAACTGGTTCGCAAGTCAATGAGACAGTCAGTCTCACCGCTGCCTCTTCCTTCATCGTATGCAGGCTGCTCGTGCAGATGTGCATTCACGAACGACTGTGCGTAGTAGGCTCGATACATATGTGTGTGTGTGTTGCGTTTCGTGCTGCATTCCAATCAGTCCGGGCGCGAATACGCGATTGTCCGGGCGTTGGCGCGCGGGCGTGATTTGTTGCATGCGAGCGCGAGAGCGCGTGGGTCAATGAACAGCCACAAGCACCACGACGGTACGTAGAGATGGCTGTAAGCAGGATGGCGCCATGCAAGGTCGATGGGTGGGTGGTCGTGGCTGACGAACGAAGGCTGCCGCATCTCGGGGTTAGGGGGGTCATCTACTCTCGATTGCGAGGGACACGGACAAGAAGAAACATGAAATCGATAAAACACCATCCGCACCCACCTGCCCAATCGAACATATTTGTACTTTCCCGTAAACCTTCGCAAACTATAACAAAAAACATAATCTTGCCAGATCGGATTGCTTACGTGATCGCGCGCGTGCATGCGTTGAGTACCTAGCCAGTCAATGCGCAAAAACGCGCGACCAGATGAGCACAAACTTCTGCAGGCCCATCGCCATTGACTAGTTCGGAAAAAAAATCGATACTATCCATGTGCGTCCCATGATTTTGGAAAGTTCTGACTGGACGAGCCAATGTCAGAAGCACGTGATTCCCGCCGGTTCGAAGTTGCGAGCGCACGCGTAGCAGGCGTGGCAGTATTCCTTGAGGCTTCGCACATGGGGGTCAATAGTGCCAACCTCGTACTCTTACCTGCAAGGATAAATACCAGGGCCAGACCAGTGCGGGCATCGAAGTCAAAATCCATATGCAGAACGGACTCTGGGTCAGAGGCTGCATGAAAACATACTTGGAAATGCCTGGCTCAGTCCAGCCCGACAGGGCCTGCTGGAGCTTGTAGTAGGGAACGGTTCGCGTAGGATGAGGCGTTCCAGTTAATTGCGGGACCCGACCATGCCAACCTGCCAACACATGTGTTCCAGGCGGCCGAAGGAACCACATCTGACAAACAAAACTACGCCTGACCTTCTGAACCCATCTTGAGGGAACAGCCCACAAAACAGACCGCGGACTACAATATGGGAGTAACTGCTGGGAGCCGCGTCCGTTGATAGACTGTCTTGGTCGTTGCAGCGCGACGCACGCAGGCCTCGATCTCCTGCGAGCGTGCGTCCTGCCTGGTGTCGAAGTTCTTCAGCATGTAGTCGCACTCCTGCCGTCTGCCGACCTTTCTCCAGCACAACAGACACCAGGGGCCTCCCCGAAGGGGCCTGACGCTAGGCTTTGGAAGCACGCCGACGAGATCCACACAACAGCGTGCCCTGCTCCAAGTCTTCTTCCGACCTGCCCTCTCCCCTGATGAAGCGATCCGAGCACTCCAATACAAGCGTGGAGCGCCTTCTGGAGTTGGCCAATCGGATCGGAACAAAACAACCCAAACACCAAGCGACCTCACCAAATCTCCAATCCCGCGCCAGAGCAACCCACATCCTCCCACAACTCTGATTAGCCCAACTCTGAAAGGGTCCCGCTCCTCTTCCTCATCATCCTCCCAACCTGCCACTGTCCGCGACATCACGTCCCATCTCTCCACGTGCACATCTAGCCGCCAGTCGCACCTTCGCCGAGCGGCTGGAGGCACACTCACACCGACCCCTGGCGTCGTGCTAGTAGGCCGTCTCAGGGGTGCAGGCGAATGGGGCAAGTGTCCTCTGCCTGCCTTCCAGTCTACACCTCCACCCAGCCATGAGCCCCTGAGGGAGCATACTCAAGCTGTCTTTTTGCCGAGTCAGCTACACCTCCGAGAACCGTTTGCAGCAGGAGCGATGAGTGCCCCCCCCCCTCCGCATCAGCTTGCTCGCAGGACCGAGTGTCTGCACCCTCCTGGGACACCTCTCGGGCTCTGCGGATATCAAGATTGCACACACACACACACATTCGGATATGCGGGTGCGGCTCGTATCATCCTCGCGCTGAAAGATTTCCCCCAGGGCGCCTCACGCACCACCACTGGTCTCAGCCTTGGAGTCCCCCTGCACGCCGCCTCTAGGTGCTGAACGCTCCCCAAGCCGCACCACTGGAACAATATCTGGGCCTCATTCGCACCGTTGGAATGGATACGACAAAAATGGGTAGGAAGCTCAACAAGGCATGTCGTCCGAAACCGGCAGCCGCCACTGTCGGGCAAACGACCTGCTGTCTCAAATGGACAACGTCGGCGGCCCCGTCTACAACGAGTCTTGCTCAAAATGGGCAGGACCGGCTGTGGGTCTTCGTCCCCATTCGATAGAGGCCTCCTAGATGGGGGCCGAGTAGATGGGGTTTGCACCGCATCGCCCATACATCGGCGATGCATCGGCGACGTCGGCGGCTCGTCTGCGACGTCGGCGTGGAGAAAATGGGGCTCCACGTCGAGCCGCATCGCCGATGCATCTGCAATGCATCGGCGAAGCGGCGCGATCCTCCGACCCCATCTGCTCCGACCGCTCCGGGAGGCCCGGACTCGATGGTCCCGACTGCAGGCCTCCCCCCTGGCAGGAG